AGGCAGACATATAATAGTGAGTAAACTTTGGACATTGGAGTTCTCATAATTTTCAGTTTAAAACCTTTGCCTCCAACTATATTTGTATTTTGCTCATATATTAATTTTATGATACTAAAACTCAGATTACTGCTGTAATACCTGAGCCTTTTGCTTCATTCACTCCAGCCTCTCCAGCAAGGAGCCCTGGCAGAAGTCAGAGCCATGGTAAAAGGAGGCGTGAGGGAGCGGTCAGCACACCACGCTGTGGATGTGGTCCATGGTGCCGCTTAGAACGAAGAGGGAAGAGAAAGGAGTATTTACTTCGGAAGGGAGAGTTTGGTATGCTTATTCACTGAAGCAACATCGCTCCCTCTTCCCACTCCCCAGTTACTTAGAAGGTTCTTACAGTGAGTAGAGGACACAGGTATATTAACCAATAATGAACAGCAACCTGGAAAGTGCTACAACCACCAGGGTGAGAGATGTTGAAAGCCCTTAACTGCATTTGGTCATCAGGGCTTTGACCTGTGTGTGAAAGGTGGTATCTGAGCTAGGGTTTAAAGTGTGATCAAAGCAAGGAACAGCAGTATAGGCTCTGAGATGAAACACGTGCTCGCTGTGTACTTCAGGTAGTCTGCACACAGAATACATGTAGAGGGTGGGCAAAAATACGCTTACAGTTTACTGTCTATTTATCATCATGTTTCTATTGTCTTTCCATATCAACTGTAAACCAACTTTTGCCCAACCCCATATTTATGGCTTTTAATTTTTTATATATTATGATGTTTTCATATCTTTAAATTCTTTTCACACTGCCTTCCTGAGATTAGCCAGGTTTTAGAATTAGCAAAAAGCCTAGCCTGCAGCACGCTGTTGGTGCAAACTAACCAATCCAAATTCCTGCCTGCTCTCTGGTTCTCACATGCAGGAGGCAATGTTATAACGGCACCTGCAGGTATCATCCCGGGACCAGGTGCCTAGCGATCAGGGAGGACTCCTACAGCTTCGAGCCTGCTGTAGTTATTCAAGGTAGCCAATTCTAAACTGGTCACCTCGGGCCTGCCTTGCCTTCTCTGTGGAAATGCAGAAAGTAAGTAACGCCGTGGCCTAGGCCCTCCCCTCACTCCTGTCCCTCTGCTTCCTGACCAGCACTGGTGCTTCTCCGGGTGGGTGGCTCTGTGGCACGGGTGCCTGTGTGGCATGGTGCGCCTCCTGTTGCCGGATCTGTGAGTGTAATAAACTTTGTCTCTTCTTGTGGCCCCACCTGACTGACCACATAAAAAAAAAATAAGAGTACTTTCCAGGGGATTTGGACAAAGATGAGGTGGGAAAGAAAACAGCCGTATCATGAAAGGTTTTTACATCAAGCCACAGTGTATGGAGAATTTAAGCTGAGCTCACCGGTCTACCTAAAACAAATATATATACACTTCAGCACACCAAATAGTGAGCAAATGGACGGGGTGGGAGAAGAGGGATCTTCCACGGTCAAATTTCTCTGAAATGTTTGATGGCCTGTGATCTCAGAGACTGGTGTGTTCCTCACTCCCCACCCCCCCCAACCCCATTGGCTGGCTGCACTGCCTGTGAGAGAGGCAGCAAAGGGGAGTGGCCGAGAGCACAGAACCTGGACCAGATGGCCTGTTTTCAAGTACAAGCTTCACCACTTACTAGCCAGATGATGTGGAGCCAGTCACTTACCTCCCTGTGACTAAATTTCCTCATCTGTAAAAGGGAATAATAGTACCTACCATACAGAGTTATTGGGAAGATTAAATGAGTTAATGAGTATTCAGTGCTTAGAAGAGTGCCTGGCACATAGTAAATGCTATGTGTTAGTGTAGTAGCAGTAGTGGTGGTAGTAGTAATAGCAGTAAGTTCCATTCATCCTTCATTCTGAGGGAGACCCATGTTAGTTTCTCCAGAGCCTGCACTAGGGCATTGCCGGGAGTGCTAGAATGATACACAAACAGCCCAACACAAAGCAATCTGTGGGCTTAAAGAATAGCTGCTTCTAGTATAATTACTATTACAAAAAAAAAAACCATGGCCGTGGCCCAAGGATAAACAGTGACCCCTGGAATTGAGTCTAGAAACGACCCACAGGTCTGAGACAAGGGTGACATGCGGAGCAGTGAGGAAAGAGCGGTGTTTCAATGGTCCATTGACTACCACAGTGGAAGGACCTCTACCCCGTCGCACACAAAAATCAGCTCCAGGCAAGTGGAGGGTACACATGTGAAAGGTTAAATGGTACAGCTTCTACAAGATAACATAGGAGAATATACTTATGACTATTGTATTGGCCAAGATTTCTTAAATAAGACCCAAAAAGACCAACCCTAAAGGAAAACATTGGTAAGCTGAAGTTTACATTCTAAATTAAATTTACACTTCTGTGTATTCACACTGAATATGTTTTCTGTTTATGTTGAAATTAGGAGCTGTATTAAAACACACCTATATAAGAATGAAAAGGCAAACCTCAATATGAAAAAATATTTTAAAACATCTATCTGACAATCACTTCCATCTACAATAATGAATTGGTCAAATCGGTAAGGAGAAGACAGCCAAGTAGAAAAATGGGCAGAGGACTGAAGACACATGTCTCAAAAAATAAAAGGTTTCCAAGTGACCCATAAGCACATGTAAGTGCTCAGTCTTAGTCATGAGAATGCAAAATAAAATCAAGATACTACTCGCTACACAGCCTCACAACTTAAAAAGAATACCAGCTGTTGATAAGGATGTGGATGGAGCACATGACTTTCATAGTACATTTATTATATAAAGTGAGGTGTTTGTCTTAAGCTGTAACTTTCAAGTGGACTACTTCGTAATTATCTTGAGGCCCAGAAAACGTCTTTGCTCTGCGTTTGACGGAAGCCACAGTGACAGCAGATGGCAGTAGAGGGCACACTAAGCTCCTCAGAATGCTTTCCCCCAGGCCGTGAGCTCAGGACTGCAGAGCGCCGAGAACCGCTCCCTCTCCCCTCCGCTCACTACCCGCACCACTGCCGCGTGCGCGTGCGTAGTCCTTCCCCATACGCACCAGAGCGCTGGGCAGTTCAGGTAATACCGCTCTATACTGTAGTGCTGAGGTTTTTCAGTTCGGGTTTGGGAACTAAATGCTAAAGATAGAAATATACCTTCATCCATCTTCCAGGGACAGGGTCACAAAACAGGACACATCTCAGGGAATAACAAAAAGAGCTGATTATCCATGATTGTGGAATCCCCTTCCCTCATCTGAATGCAACACATAATTACGTTAAAGCTTTTTAGAAAGCAAACCATTACCCAGAGCATGTAATGCCTCTTTTGCACATAAGTACAATCTCTCCAAATGGGAATCTGTGACATTTTTCCTTTATACTGTGATACACATGACATCATCTATGACTTACTGAGGAGGGTGCTGGGTGGAGGGGGGCAAAGAGGAGAAAATTGGGACAACTGAAACAGCGTAATAACAAATTATAAATTAAGAAAATAAAATATCTCCTTCCTCTTAAAAAACAGTTATGAGATGCTATGCCTCAGAGTATCAAACCTGAACAGTAACCAAATGAAAACTCCACACCCATTTCATTTATTCCTTCCACTTCCCTTATTCTTACAAAGCTGCAGTATGAGTCCTTATTTAATCCTTTTTTGGTTTTGTTTGGGTTATTTTGTTTGTTTTCTGTATGCTTAGAATAAAGAGGCAGAGTAGAATTATAGCTAAGAGCAAAAACTTTCAATTCTGAGAGACCCAGATCTGAATTCCCACTACTTTAAGCCCTTTGTGTGTGGTCATAAGCAGATTATTCCACTCAATGGGCCTGTCCTTCATCTGTAAAACCAAATAAATATTTGTCTTAAGAGAGTCCTTTTAAAGACTGAAGGAGTTAATAGACATAAAGTTGTTCCTACCGTGCCTGAAATAGGTAAGGCAAGTGAACAATAAATGTAGTGCATCGTTCTATGTGAATTATTATTTTGACAACCCATGGAACACGTCGGCAGCATTCCCGACGGCAATGCAGAGGATGAGACCTGGCCAGACAGCAATGCTCTGGAAAAAGTAATAGCTCCAAGTGACCAAACAAGCTCATTATGGAACAACACAAGGATGCAGGTGTTAATGAAATTTAAGGCCACATTGAGTATCCAAAATAATGGAGGAAATGGCTCTACTATGTGCTGTTCGCATCTTATCTACGGTCTTGTGTCTAGTTCTGAATGTACGTCGTTCTAAGGGGCTTTGATAAATTGGATTTTATTTTGGAGAGTAGTGATTAGGATGAGGAAGGATCCAGCGATGCCCCAGGAAGAATAATAAAAGAAAATCAGTGCGGGGGGTGGGGGGGACGAGAACCATGATGGCTTTCTTCAAATATTTGTCCTATGAAAGATGGAGTTAACACCCATATAGTTCCCAAGTACCGAACTAGGATAAGTAAATGGAAGCTGTGACACAGTCGATTTCAACTGAAGAGAGGGAAGAAATCTCAAATAATTTAGAGCTGCCCGAATAATAATGGCTCCTTCATTCAGGTCTTCCTACAAAACTTACGGCAATGAGTGTGGAATGTGAAGACGGGTTACCTACCTTGGATGAAAGGACGGACCACATGAATTCCATGGTTCTTTCTTAGTCTGCCACTTAGGTGTTCACACAAAACCTTCCCAGATAAATCCACAACATCAAAGGAGGGTGCCTACTGGGCCTCCAAGATGGTGAGCCTTGAAGACAGAAATATTGCAAATCCCTTAAAGCATTCTCTTGCACACAGAATAAACTCCAGGATCAGAAACTAACTGGATCACAAAAAGCTCTTATTTATATGGTCAACCATTTTGGAAAATATAATTTATTCCACAATGTGTGTGTCTAAGTCCATAGGGTTGTTCTGAGGGGCCTATAAATAAGAAGCAGTGCCCCACCCAGTGTGGCTCAGTTGTTGTAAGTGTTGCCCTGTAAGCAAAGGGTTGCATGTTCAGTTCCCGGTCAGGGCACATACCTAGGTTGCAGGTCCTATTCCTGGTCCAAGCCCTCATGATCCCCCATAGGGCGCATACAGGAGGCAACCAATTGATGCTTCTCTCCATCCCTTCCTCTCTCCTTTCCCCTCTCTCTGAAAGCAATGGAAAAAATATCCTTGAGTAAGATTAGAAAAAAACAAAAAACCCAAAGAGTTAACCTTGAAAATGCATAGAATGAAGCCAAGTGAATAGACTATTGATAAATAGTCAAATTTATAGAAACCTATCAGGACTTAATAGAAGAAAAACCAATTTATAGGTGAGGTGCTTTTATATTTTAATGGGGGAAAACCCATATATGACCATGGTTGTGTGCACTTCCCACTGATCTGAATATGGTTGTATAAGAGGAGTTTTGGGAGAACTTACAGAGTGTGAGTCCTCAAAACTCACACCTACTTGTTTGGGAAATAATCATCTATTCAATTAACAAGCACTTAGTAAGGACATTTAAAAAACAACAAACCAGGTGATATGGAGGATCTCTGAAGAGCAAAGGCAAGAATGCTCTGCTCTAGAAGAGTTCAGTGCAATGGACAAGAAAAACAAACACAACATAAAAATGTGATAAAATCCAAGATCTTCCTATCTGAACCGCTGCTGGTCAGTCTCTGGGAGTTGCCAGCTTCAGAAAAGCTAGAAACAGAGACCATTCAGATGCCAGGTGAGGGCACAGCGCTGGCGGGAAGCCGAGGTCAGGTGGCCATCAGACTGCGGGGCTCCAGCAATGGGCCTGGCAAGTTGGAGCCAGCACAAGCCTGGAGGACAGTTTTGACATCAGAAGTGCCAGGACTTGGCGGGGAGGTAGGGCAAGGGAAGGCGAGACCTAAAGCAGGAGACCTGAGACAGCTTGTTGGAAGACCATTCTGTTGCAGTGGGGATTTTCTCCAAGACCTAGTGACCAGCGCCATGGGACATTCCACTGCTGGTCTTAAGGGCTGTACTACCCAACCAGGTCTAGCTGTAGAGGCACACAGAGTGGTGGGGGGAGCTGTCAGTTGAGTTTGCTGAGGCTTCCCAGCAGAGGTAGCAGAGTTTTGGTTGCATGAAGGTTAGAAGATGGAAAGTAAATGGTCCAAGATGAGACTGGGAAATGGCTACCCACAGCCAACATTCATCAGTTACTTTCTTTTTAAAAATAAAAATAAAAATGATTTTATTTATCTATTTTTAGAGAAAGGGGAATGGAAAGAGAAAGAGGAAGAGAAATATCAATGTGTGGTTGCCACCAGCGTGTTCCCAACCAGGGATCCGGCCCTCCACCCAGGCCTGTGCCCTGACTGGGAATCCAACCTGTGACCCTTTGGTTCACAGACTGGAGCTCAATCCACTGAGCCACACCAGCCAGGGCTTGCTTTCTTTTTTTTTTCTTTTTATGTATTTTAGGTATTGTAAAAATGAAATGTGTGATCCTTTCCTAAAAGCACGTAAATACATTTAAGTGTGATAGGCACAGCGTCTGGATGTGGCTGGCCCCGGGCCTTCCCTGCATCTGCCTGCAGCCAGAGAGATGCCCGGAGTTGGCCTCCGGCCCAGGGTGGAGCCGCCACAGGCAGACGCAACTTTTGCTTTCAGAACCCCTAGTCCTTTGTTAACAAAAAGAGCAATGTGTCCTACGATGTAAAAAACTCTTTGTACTGAAAAAAATGGAGGTTATATAATCTTATCCAAGGCTTTACACTAAAAAGTGGGTTATAATTCTAGAGCAGTACTATTAACTATTACTATTAACCACTGAAGTTCAATTTATAACACAAGTATAGTGAGACTTTTTCAACGTGCTAAAAGATCTCAACCTTCTCTTGTAGACAGTGGTAACGCATTGAAGCTCTTAAAGCCAAAGACAGACATGGGTTTGGTCACATGGCAAATGTCATTAGCATAAACTTTAGAGACCCCAAGTGCAAACACCAGCTCTCTGACTTTTTTAAAATATATATTTTGAGCCCGGGCTGGTGTAGCTCAGTGGATTGAGTGCAGGCCTGCGAACCAGACAATCGCGGTTTGATTCTCAATCAGGGCACATGCCTGGGTTGCAGGCCAGTTCCCTGCAGGCTGGTTCCCGCCAGGGCATCCACGATATACAACCATACATTGATATTTCTCTCCCTCTCTCCTTCCTTTCCCCTCTAAAGATAAATAAATTTTAAAATATATATATATATTTTATTAATTATGCCATTACAGTTGTTCTATTTCTCCCATTCATTCCCCTTCACCATGCACACCTCTCCCCCACCATTCCCCCCTTTAGTTTATGACCACGTGTCTCAAGTTCTTTAGATTCTATATTTCCCATACTATTCTTGCCCTCCCCCCTATTTTCTACCTACTGTCTATGCTACTTATTTTCTGTACCTTCTCCCCCCTTCTCCTTCTCCCACTCCCCTGTTGCTAATCCTTCATGTGATCTTCATTTCTATGTTTCTGCTCCTGATCTAGCTGTCCTCTTAGTTTGCTTTTGTTTTAGATGTGGTTCTTAATAACTGTGAGTTTGCTGTTCTTTCACTGTTCATTTTTTTTTATCTTTTTTTTTCTTAGGTAAGTCCCTTTAACATTTCATATAATAAGGGCTTGGTGATGATGAACTCCTTGAATTTGATTTTATCTGAGAAGCACTTTATCTGCCCTTCCATTCTAAATGAAAGCTTTGCTGGATAGAGCAATCTTGGATGTAGGTCTTTGGATTTCATGAGTTGGACTACTTCTTTCCAGCCCCTTCTTGCCTGTAAGGTCTCTTTTGAGAAATCCACTGACAGTCTGATGGGAACTCCTTTGTAGGTGATTGTCCCCTTAGCTCTTGCTGCTTCTAGGATTCTCTCCTTCATTTGAATCTTGGCTAATGTAATGATGATGTGCCTTGGTGTGTTTCTTCTTGGGTCCAACTTCTTTCGGACTCTCTGAGCTTCCTGGATTTCCTGGAAGTCTATTTCCTTTGCCAGATTGGGAAAATTCTCCTTTATTATTTGTTCAAATAAGTTTTCCACTGGTGGCTGTTCCTCTTCCCCTTCTGGTACCCCTATAATTTGGATGTTGGAGTGTTTAAAGATGTCCTGGAGGTTCCTAAGCCTCTCTTCATTTTTTTTGAATTTTTGTTTCTTCATCCTTTTCTGTTTGGTCATCTTTTTCCTCCTTCTAGTCCACTCCTTTGATTTGAGTCCCAGTTTCCTTTCCATTACTATTGGTTTCCTGTGCATTTCCATTCATTTCAATTAGTTTAGCCTTCATATGTTCCTCTAATTTGTGACTAAAATCAACCAGTTCTGTGAGCATCCTGATCACCAGTGTTTTGAACTGTGCATCTGAAAGTTTGGCTATTTCTTCATCGCTTAGATTTATCGGGTCTGGGGCTCTGAGTTGTTCTTGAGCCATGTTTTGATCTGTTCGTGCCTGTTATGTATGAGGAGTGGAGCCTTAGTTGCTCACCAGGGCGGGGCAGTCCAGGTTGCTGGTTTGTGACGCTGTATGTGGGGGCGGGTCAGAGAGGGACAATGGTGGTTCACTCTGCCGATTCCCGCTACTGGGGCCTGTGTGGTCTGTCTCACTCACTGCTAGCTCCTTCACCGGTTTAACTGCACACAAATGTGTTACTGCAATCAGCCCTCAGTGGGTCCGCCCGCTTCTCCACACCTGGGATCCACCCACAGCTGCTGGTGCACCTGGGTCGTGTGCCTGGGTCAGTCCAGTGGATCTTTCCTGCCCAATCCTGCTCTGCTGCTGGCTCTGCCCCTCTTACCGGTTTGGCTGAAGGGTTTGTTGTTGTCAGACTTCCGTGTAGTTCAACTTTCTGTGGTTTGGCTGCATTTTTGTAGCTAAAACTTTGTTGTTTTTAAACTTGGTTGTGCAAGAAGGTACAGTGCTTCCACCTACGCCTCCATCTTGGCGGAAGTCCGCTCTCTGACTTTTCGAGGATGCCCGAAGAAAATAATTTTCTGAGTTCTCAAATTCCTGTTCTAAGAATAATAACAAAGTCTTCTTGCTGGGATGCTGGGATGCTTAGGCATAATAATGCATATGAAGGCGATTTGGTAACTACCAAGCTAAGAGTAAATAGTAGATATTATGATTTCTACTGTAGTTTAGAAAAATCCAGCAGCCATGGGGCTGAGCCCCTAGAGACCACTGTAACCGTCCAGATGAAGAAAGGCCTTCAGGAAGGCAGCGGCAATGAGGATGGAGAGGGAGTACCTGTGTAATAGGTAATTAGGCCAGTTTTTGAACGGCACTATGTGACTGATCAGATATGGAAGGGAGAGGAAAGGGGTTCAGGATGATGCAGAGCTTTCTGTTGAGCAGTCATGTGGACGCTGATGTCAGTAAGGCAGGAACAGGGGTGGGCAGGATAATGCTTCTATTTCAGGACCGTTGTGAGGAGGCAGCTATGAGGCATTCAGGAAGAGGGGGTGGTGAAGGGAGTGGGACTGAGAGTGGAGGGCTCAGAAGAGCAGTGAGCTGTAGATTCAGATTTGGACACTCTGGGTATATGCATGACTAAAACTATGAGGGTAAAGTAATGTAAAGAGATGGTCTGCAACCCTTCACAGCCGAGGGGCCTTCCCCACTCTCACATGAAAATAAATGGCTGATGCAGAAACCCAACTGTAAAAGATCAAAAGAAAGCTATTCTGGTCTAATCTGGAATGAGTTACCTGAAGCCCCCACTTCTTGAGACAGTCCCTGCACTGGCTTCACTGAGCCCAGTTTGAAAGCCACCAACTTGAAGCAAAACAAGTAAGAGGACAGTTAATTGCTATACTGAGTCTACAAGAAAATAGCTTACACAAAACCAGATTGTAATTTCCATTTTGGATTTTTTTAAAGCTGTTTTGAAACTCTTAATTTCTTTGGAATCCTCACCTAGTCATAGGCTGCACTAATTTCTTTCTGGCCAGCTCTCACAGATGCCTGACCTGGACAGTGTCCGGCTTGCACACTGGAAGCCACGGAGCCATTCAAGTCAAGAGAGTTGGCTGAGAGTGCAGACTACGCCTGTGGTCAGGTCTGTGCACATGGACCTTCCTCACCAGAGGATGGTGGCTGTGGACGCGTCTGCTGGATCCCCAGCACCGAGGTAACTGCGTTTACCACAGTTACCTCGTGGCTCTTCTGTGACCTTGACACTAGATCAATGTTACCAATTTACATAAAAAGCTGTTTAATAAAAAAAATTATCCCAGATATTTCACATGTAAACTTTTTAAAAGTTGAATTGATCGAACTTTTTCTCCTAATTAAATTCATTGAATCTGCTTATTTCAACACTGTTAAGGCCTCAATCCCAAAACCAGTAAAAGTAGTTTGGTTTGGTTATTGAATCAGAAAAACATAATCACATGATAAAGACAATAGGAACAAATAAATGAGAGCAGGAGACGAAGAGAAGAAAGGACAAGCAGGTGACATAGCAGTAGTCATTGCTAAAAGCAACCACAAAAATGAAAATCTCTAAAATCTCAGTGATTTAACACAATGTAAGTTCACTTCTCACTCAAAGCTCAGTGTTGCGGACGTTTACGATTGGTGCGTGGGTATTCATCTCCCAACTTGGCCTCAGCACCCTTGCCTGGATCCTCTGCGGTTCAGTTGGTGAGTGGAGTAGGGGGCAGAGATTCTATGGGCTGCGCCTGAAGGTGAGCACCTCACTTCCGAGTGTTTTCCCTCCACCGGAACTAGTCACAAGGCCCCTGCAATCTGCCCGAAGGGCTGGGATGAGTAGCCCAGCCATGTACTCGGAAGGTGGAAGTGAGAATGCTGATCTAGCCGGTCTCTGCTACAGATTAAAAAGTACCTATGTTAGGGTTTTGTAAAATTTAGGAAAAATTAATTCCTTGTATATAGAAAAATTTCACACTGATTCATCCCCTGCTGCAGAAGCCTTAATTTAAGGACTGATGAAGTGAACATTGAATCCTCTCTGCTCTGCCATAAACATCAGTTCATTCTTAAGTGGGAGTGCATTACCATGTTGTCAAATGCACCCAAAAAAGAAATGGTCATCACTTTTATAGGTACGGCTCAACACAAAAACATAGTTTTTAAAACAATGTATTGCAAATAATGAAATAAAAGTGTATTTTTATAAGATGCAGCACAGCATTGTTATATAAACGTTTTCTTTACAAACTTCTTAAGAGAAAATAACTTCTTCATATTCTAACCCCTACAAAAAAGAAGTTTTTAAAAAGCTAGACATATACTGAGTCATAGAATAATTGGAATTCTAACAGGAATATAACTGTAAAGCAATTTTCCAAAAAAAAAAAAAAAAAGAACACCATTCTGCTTTTTTTAAACTCCACAAAGCAGGTAAGCGTTTTATGGGTCAAGAGTTTAATACAGGGTGTTATGCAATGGCTCAGCTTAGAATAGTTTTCTCCTTTGTTCTTCTTGCACACCACGCACATGCCGTTTGGTGACATCCTGAGGTTTGGGAGGCTATTGAAGAAGGCCTTCTGAAAAGAAAAGGTTATTCTACATCATGTATAAGAAAAAGCTTTGATGATTCATAAAGTTAAAGCCTTTTAGTTCCTTTCAGGGGAGAATTCCCAGCAGATGTGTTGAAAAGGAAGTGGCTCAATTAGAGCTCGCCCCCTGTGGTAGAACCACAGACCCCAGCTGGCTTTTTGCAGGAAGGACTAAGCGCTGAACCCACTTTGATCACACCACTTTAAACAGCACCAAGAAGGCAAAGACATTTTCAGCCTACAGAAAAGAAATGGATGAGTGCCTGTCAGTCTGCGTGTGACAGAAAGAATACGAATTGTTCCAGCAAACGTTTTCTTGTGAGGAAACCTACATCAGGCAAGTGTCCCTACTAACTTGTCCTGTACCACTGGTTCATGCCACTGAGGTGTGCCTGCTTAGATAACTTTTGCCTCGGAAAATAACAATCTGCATTGGGAAATGTGGTCTCATCAAACTGGACTTAGCTGAAGGGTCCCAGCCCAATCTTCCATCCCCTCATCTTCTATTTTCATTCCACACTTTGTTTTTGCTTTTTCTGCCTGGAGAGAGGACTTAGTAACTGTGCATTGGTTTGTAATCAACATCAGAACCTGATAACTCAATAGTTTGTAAACAGTCTTAAACTCAAAAGAAGTTCTTAGTGAGTTCTTCCTTTCTTTCTTTTTTTTTTTTTTTTTAGCATACCCAAAGAAGGTTCTGTGTTTTTCTTTTCTCACCCATTATTTACAGGTCTTTTGCTGGAATTCTACCCTTAGTGTATTTTGATCTTTAACCCTTCTCATTAGATGGCCATTGCACAGAGGACAGTGGAACAGCCGCACCTCCGATTGTACATGCAGCCGGCAGTTCACAGAGCACTGAGCGGACCACCTGGCACTCAGGGCCGTCTGAGGTGCTCCTCATATGTTGAAGGGAACACCTTAACTTAACCAGAGCTACATGGTTACTCCTCTCTATCACTTGCTGTTCTTTTTAAGGAGAGAGTAAGTTTCAGGTTCGTCTTTAGCAGGCAGTTTTATCTAAAGAAAATAAACAAGTTAAATGTTAAAAAGCAAGTTTCTTTAGAGAAAAATGCTGGATTGATACAGTGTTTTGTGAATGAGCCAAGATTGAAAAACACAGGATGGTAGGAAGAACACTGGCCCCAGAGCCAGAAAACCTGGGTTTCTGTCCTTTGCCACCAATTAGCTGTGTGACACGGGGCAATTAACTTCTTTGGGCCTCAACGTCCTTATCCATAAAAGGTTGCTTTTTAACTCTGGCTGCACATTAAAATCACCCAAGGTGTTTTAATGACTCCCAGAGCTCAGGTCACATTCCAGACCAATTGCATCAGAATCTCTGGGGGGGACCCAGACATCAGTATTTTGTAAGTCTCCCAGACAAGCATCTAAGGTTGAAAAAACACTGCACTAAATGACTTACAAGGCCTTTAAAACTTCAATTTCTTTGATTCTAAAATAAAACAATAGGTGACATAAAAGATTATAATCAAGAAACATATCTTTGCCTTTCATGTAACTAGTAGAGTGAACCAGCTCATAGCCATCATTCATAGGTCCACATAGTCACATGTATACTGCATATAGTTACAATGTGAGACAGGAACTATACTGGGGATGTGGCGGTGAACGAGGCAGACTGGCCTCTTCCTCCCAGAACTGACCATTTAATGGAGTAGGGGCTGAATGAACACATCTCAGTGTTCCCATGTTACAGAATGTTAGGGAAAATGGGAGCACATAGAGGGGCATCATCAGTAAATCTTACACTTTATTCTTTAAATTCTATAATAAAAATCAAAACATCCTTCCATATGGTTGGTGTTTATTTCACTAGGGTTACCAGCTCGTAATAACATAACTTGCTAAAAGGAAAAGTCACTGGTGTGAAAATTTCAGGTTTGAGGTTTGCTGTCTGCACATACAAACTCTCCCGTTGGCACTTATTCATTCATTCATTTACACTCATTCAACAAACTTTTTTTTGTATATGCGAGGTAGACATCGTGCTAGGCACTGCATATCCAAAACTAAAGAGCGTTTCTGTCCTTCCAGTGCACATGGTCTAGGGGAGTAAACTCAGGTTGTATAGTGCAGGGGTTAAGAGCACAGGCTTAGGAGTCCAACTCCTTGGCTTTGCATCCCATCTCTCTTACTTGCTGGTCGCAGCCTTGGTGGTACCCACCACCAACGGTTGTGGCAAGGATTCCATGAGGTGATGCATGTACAGCATTTAGCAGGGAGCCTGGCAGATGGTGAATATTCAAATCCAGTGAGCAGTTTCTGTTATTATCACATTACAGTGGGAAAAAAGCCAAATAGCAGCAAACTAGGGAATGCTTTGGAACATATGGCTGCTATTCTTAAACTGGATGGAGGAGGAAAGGCCAAGTCAGGAAAGGCTTTCTGAAACAGAAGAAAGGCCTAAAATGAGTCTCGAAGATGAATGAGGAGTTAGCCAAGGGAGGGAGTAGGGAGAGGAAAGCAAGTAGGGAGAGGAAGGTGTTCAGGTAGAGGGCGCTGCCAGGGGAGAGAAGGAGAGAGCATACCACCTCTTCTGGGGTGACCTGGGTAGTGTGGCTAGGATGCCTGGTGAGGGAACGTGGACCTGTGGAAACTGGAAAGGAGGCCCCTCACCCACAAGGGCCTGCCCCGACCAGAAAGCTCACCTTATACCCTGAAGGTAGCAGGGGACTTCAAGCAGGCTGGTTGCAGACCCAGACTGACTTTAGGGGGAGACCATTCTGGAAAGAGAGGAATAAGGAAATTAGTGACTGGGGGTGTTGGTGGTTAATTTAATGTGCCAACGTGCCTACCTAGATTTTTTTGGTTAAACATTATTCTGCATAAGCCCATGGGGATGTTTCTGGATAAGATCAGCATTGGAATGTGCAGACTGAGGAAAGCAGATTGCTGTCCCAGCGTCGGGGGCATCATCCAATCCGTTGACGGTCTGACCAGAAGAACAGGCTGTGTAAGAAAGAATTCTCTCTCTGCCTGTCTCTGAGTGGGGACATGGGTCTTCTCTTGCTTTTGGACTGGGACTCGGACAGGAAATTACATCATTGGCTCTCCTGGTTCTCGTGCCTTTGGACTTGGACTGGAGCTATACCATCAATTCTGGGTCTGGATTGCTCAGTCTACATAGTCACATGAGCCAACTCCTACTAATAAATCTGTTCACACACACACACACACACACACACGCACACACCTGGCTCTGTTTCCTTGGAGAACCCTGACTTATATATATACCAGGGTAGCCCTGCAACCCTGTAATCCTTACTGGTCTCTGTTTCTAGGCTTTTCCTCCTTCCCACTCACCCTTGATATTCTAGCCAAGCTCTCTTTCTAACGTATAGCTGCAGGGCACGTCGCCCCTTGATATTCTTCTCGCGTTCCCAGTTACCTAAAACTCCTAATTCCTAGCCTGGAATAAAAGGTCCTTCAGAATCTGCCTCCAGCCTTCCTGCCTCTCTTTGCCCGGTACCAACACCACCATCCTAGTCTTTCATGCATCTGTGGCACCTGCACCCACTGTTTCCCATCACCCGGAGTGCCCCTCCCGCTTTCTCTGTCTGGCTGGCCAACTGCTGGTTGGCATTTAAGCTCCAGCTCAAGTATCACCTCCTAGGTAAATCCATCCCTGAGTCCCCAATGGCACACAACCTGAGCCCCATTCCATTCTGTGCCCGTCTCCATTGTGGCAGGCATCGCAGCTTATCATACCGATTTGTGTAGTGTCTATTTCCACCAGCTGACAGAGCAGTTCTCAAGGGTGTAGACCATGACAGTTTCGGTTTGGATCTCAAGAGTTTAGAACGTAGTAGGAACGCCAGTGTCTGAGTGTTGAAATGCTGGGCATGGACAGATAGGTGAACACGGGATAAATGAATGGAGGAGACAGAGCAAGCAAGGGTGGTGATGTGGACCTTACTGATGGCAGGTCACTCTGCTCTTTAATGTCCTGTTAAATGAACACCACGATCCTCTTTCCCATGAACGTCACATACCGCATTCTGATACAGCGTCAATAATCAACCATGGGAGTGTTTTTATATTTTTAAAATTCTTGTCAAATTTTGTACAGTTTCTAGTGGTCCTTGAAGAGCCTGGGCTGATTTGGGGGATGGCTGTTCTCTCTTCCTTATTATGCTTTTATTTTGTACTGGAGAAATTTCAAGAATTTATGCAGATGCTTTTAAGACGTTCATTCATAGCATTTTTTAAAGATAGCAATTAGCATTTTAGGGAGGACAGAGTTTCTGAAAGACGTTCTAGGATCTTTTGCGTTATAATTAAATAGACTTCAGAGTTTTAAAATTCAAGCTCCCTAACTCGTGACAGAGTGTGGAAAGCCTTTAGGGAGGAACTATACGTTTTAACAAAAGTTAGAAACACATGATTACTGAGAGGAAGAAGCAGGCAAATTTGTGGTGGCAACTGCTGCCTGTGGGCCTGGAGAGTTTCTCCTCATAACGCCCATAAAAAAAGAGGAGAAAAAGCCCAAGTGTGGGATCTTAAAAAGGAAACCTCGGCAGGGGCAGCAGAGGTTGGTTTCATTATTTTTAAGCAACATTAAGGCTGAAAAATGCTTTTAACAGTCTTAGCACGCAAACTAGTTGGCCCTGATGTTTTGCTGTTGAGCAATCAGAGAAATGAGCATTTTCACGGCGGCCAAAAGCCCGCCATTTCTCTTCTGACTCATCTGGTGTTTGAATTTCAGCAGCTTGGCATGCGGAACAACGTGGAAGCGCCCCACCCTCTATGCGAGGTCGGGCTGCACTGGGGGGGCTGTGACAGTTCAATTCAGAGTGTATGTTCTAGGTGCCCTCGATATTTGGGGTGAGGAACAATTTTTCACCTCTTACTTTTTAAAAAATGTAAACACAGTGTTACACATAAACAGCAGCAGCAACCATAAAACATGTTCCCCTTCCTACGTTGCACTGTGAACTCACAGACACATCAGCGCCCTGACTCTGGGCAGGTAATCGCTATTTCTGAGCTTCCTTTTCCTCATCTGTAAAGTAGGAACAATGTCTGCCACACTGGTTTCTACAGCAGATAAGTGAGTGAATATATGAGTAGATACATGACTTAGTACAATGTCGAGTACATACTCCCTGTTCAGGAAACAGTAGCTGATGCGGTGGTCGTCGATGTTGACCACAGTATTAATGATGTAGTAGGAAGAACACTGGCCTGAAAATCAGAAAATCAAATTTTTTCAAAAAGAACTGCTTAACCTATTAGTAAACCTATTTTACTTCCTTAATTTATTTTGAGCCACAATTTTCTCATCTTAAAACAAGGAGTTTGGTCCAGATGACTTTCCAACTTTAGTATTTATGACTCTGTGAGTAGACTGATCAGTAAGCACAGTGAAGTGCTCTCAGCTCTATCCCCTGAAGTCCCTGCATCTTTCCTGAAAGAGCCTTCGAATACCAGCTAGGCTTCCTAAGATGGCCAGCTCTGTGTGGTGCAGAATAGCTCTGCAGAACTGCAGAGCCAAAGACTCTTGTGGATAATAACTTTGAGGTCCAAGGACATAACATCTAGAAACATTTTTTTTAGTGCCGGTGGGTACAGAGATAACATTTAGACTTGCCTCCAAGAGACACCGTATTCCCATGAGTGAGAACAGAAGATCAAGGCCGAGTCCTGTTTTGAGGGAATTTAATCATTGTAACTTGGAAACGAAGAAGTTTTTACCTAGGGAAATAAAATTCTCCAGACTGGTTCCAGTTAAGGGCAGGCAGCCATAACAGCACAGTAATTATCCTTTGCGTGTGTATGGCTTGTTGCCTGTACAAAGCCTTTTGCTGTTCACTGTGCCGTTTCACCCCACGATGCACAACATCAGTCAGGTAGGGCAGCTGTGAACATTCCTATTACTGAAGTAAGGGAGCCTCCAGGGAGGTGGTGTGCCTTGCCTCAGACTGCACAGCTCCCAGGGGCATGTGCTATGCCAGAGAGAACCGTGGCTGACCGGCCTTGTGGGCCACCTAGACATCTCCTTACGACTGAGCAGCAGTAACTCTGTCTTCCCCCACTGCTTTCTTTGGGAATTGACAAAACATTTCAAAATTTCCATCAGATAATTAAGCAGAGAAAAGTTTTCAAAGAAGGATCTCCAGATCAGCTTCTAAGCATACCTGCTGGATAAGCCTGAAGGATAAAGGGACAGGGAGGCTCCAGGTACATTCTCTACCCAGAGATCCCATTTATTGATCATCAGAGCCTCTCTGATTGGTCAGTGAAGATGCTGATGGGGGCGGGGAAATAGAGCTGTGCAGCACTGATTAAATGGGAAAGCCTGAGGCCTATGGACTGAAGTGTACTGTCGCAGGAAGTCCTTCACGAGGGCTGGCTCAGATGGCAGAAGCACAGGGCAGGCAGGCAGTTCAGTGCAGGCTTCTCCTGAAGTGCAGTTTGCATGAGGACTCTGTGTGCAAATGGCTGCTAGGCTCTGCTTTTAAATTTGAGCCCAGTTAGCCACTTGGAGCCGTTTCCTGTAGGTATGTTCTTTCTCAGTGTCTGGAGATTGCAGACAAGCAAAGCTGGACGCGAGCCTTTGAGAGGCTGGACTAGATGACTCTAGAAAGCTCTTCCAGCTGGAAGGCCAGAGATGTCCCTTTTTCCTTCCTGGAATCAGCTGTCCAAGAGTGCTCAGTACCGTTCTTTGGCTTCCAGCAGGCACTGTATTAAGTTCCCCAGATAAGGAGAACGAGGAAACCCTCAGGGACTTTCACCCTATTTCCCCCTCACTTTCTCCTGAGCAGGTCCACAGTGTGTGTATACTTCTGCTGGGAGTAAAAACTACGTCAGTCTGAGTAGCACTGCCAAGCCTTAGGAGGTATGGCAGGCAGCAGTGCCCCGGAGGTACCCAGAGATATGGCTCTATAGCCTGTTTGTCCCTCAACCCATCCCACCAAAGGTCAGGATCAATTTTTTAAAGCTTTAGAAGAAAGCAATCACACTGGTTTTTTTGTTGTTGTTTTGTTTTGTTTTTCAATCTATCAATTTTTGCAAAGCCTGGCTTGTCCAAATCCAAAAGCATCCGAAAGTGAAGTTCACAGACAAATTGTGAGTGCACGGCTCTTAACCCCTGGGCAGATTTAAAGAGAACAATGATGCCCGCTTAGGAAGGACCCAGTTTGCACAGGGGCAGCCTTTTCTGCTTCACTTTCCCCTTAACCCTGTGAGCTAGGTGCTCTTACTATTCCATCTCACAGATGAGGAGATAGACTTAGAGATTGCAGAATAATTCATTTCACTTAGGTAGTAAAAGGTGAAGACACAGGTAAACCCAGGTCTTACCTTTAACCACTAAGTAACATTTCTCCCAGATGGACTAGAACAGCAATTTTCAACCTTTTCCATCTCATGTCCCACATAAACCAATTACTAAAATTCTGCAGCACAGAATTTGGCAAAAATTATAATATTTTTTGCCAATCTGATGAAAAATAATAGGCACAATTTTTATTCATGTACACCAGGGGGCTCTTGCTGTGTTGGCTATTGTCATTTTTCTATTTGACAATCTAAAGGAAAAGAGGTCAGTGCCCTGACTACGCAGTCAGGTATTGTGTGTGTTAAAAATTCTTGTGGCAGACCGGTGGAAATTCACTGGACTGAAAAGATCAGAGCTTTTGCCCGAAGAACTAGCTCATCAGTGTGGCTGAGGGCTACTGCATTCAGTCCCTTCCTTGTTTCCTCCCCATCCTCTCTGACCTGT